AGTATCCACGGATTATTACCAAAAACTAATCAAAACCTAGCATTAGTTCAGAGCATCTATGTACCAAGTTTCATCAAAATCCAATGAGTGGTTGTTTAGATATCAGTGGAACAGTCATGGAACCACTAAAAAATAGCTAATTATCATGCAAATTAGGTAATTAATATGCACGGATTTTTACCAAAAATTAATCAAATCTGCGCATATGTTCAGAGCATCTATGTACCAAGTTTCATCAAAATCCAATGAGTGGTTCTTTAGATATCAGTGGAACAGTCATAGAACAGCTAAAAATTAGCTAATTATCATGCAAATTAGGTAATTAACGAGCATGGATTTTTACCAAAACCTAATCAAATCTGCGCATTGGCCCAGAGCATCTATGCACCAAGTTTCATCAAAAACCGATGTATGGTTCTTGAGATAGCAGTGGAACAGTCGGACACACATACACACATACACACACACATACACACATACACACATACACACATACAGACACACTAACTGCAAAGACTCCCATTTTGTGCTTCGCACATGGGAGTCAAAAATAATTTAGCTCTAAAAATAAAACAAAAATGTAACTAGGAAACAAATATAATATGTATAGCATTACTTACAGCAGAAATGAGTCCGAATGACCATTGGCCGTCATCGTAAGCATTTGCTGGTATGGCACCAATCTGAAATGAAATGAACGAGCAAAATCACATACTGTAAAGGTCATGACCCTTTGTGTTTGATATGAAACACACAACGACATATACATTGTTTGATAATACACAATACAAACACCTAAAACTATGTATAAGCATCGGGGCCTAACCATCAAGTCGAAATCACGCCCTCAACCGACTGACTGTAATTTCTGGTTTGGGCAGAGGCACTGGTCCTTATATCTATTTGGCAGGGTAAAGAAATACTGCGATAGATTTATAGCTCAATGGGAAACAGAAAAATGGTGTACAAAATTATGCGTCAAAAACTTAAAAGGACGACTTAACAGATTCAATGGAAATTGAAGAACCCTTTTAAAGACATTAAAGATAAAAATCGTAAAAGTAGTCATGGTACGGTGACGTATTCCTCCCACGATGACGTATTCCTCCCACGATGACGTATTCCTCCCATGTTTAGGTTGAAAACTATTACACATATCACAACAGTTGAACAATGACAAAAAGGTAATTTAGCATGATAATAACTTAAGCGAGTATTGTCTTAGACTCGTGATGACCGTTTCTTTTCTTTCTCAGCTCAACAGGATAATACTCTGACATGCATCGTGTCATGTAAAGAAACAACACAAGCACAACACCAAAAGCATTTTCAGTCATGTTGTTTTTTATAAGTAATTGAGGAAGCTGTTATGTTCAACTCTGACCGAACTGAATTGAACTCGGGTGGATCTCGACTCTCGTTCAGCCCCGTCCGTGTAAACGCATTGGAGATAATCTCCTGTTAATCGGAGGGAGGAGCAGTAGTTTGGCTCTGATAGAATGCTGCTGTGTAAACATAGTATATATACAAATGTTTACTTTCAATGTACATTGCACAATTGATAACTGGTAATCTAGAATAATCAGCCATATTTGTCCCACCCTACCAGTCGATACAAAAATCGGGCCTTTAAACGAAGAAGTCATTTTCCCAAAGATTACTACTCACTTTTCCTTGAGTTACAAGTTCTCTCTGAGCAGCAGAGGCTGCCTTCACCAATGCGCTTGTAGCTGACGCGATGGCCTTAGCAGCTTCTAAAATCTGTTCATTAAAGTTGAGGTTTTCATCGGCTTCCTGTCAGAGAACGATAATGAGAAGATTGTTAGGACAGGAGCAGGGAGGAATTCCACTACAAGGATGCTCTACCTTCTAAAATCACTATAAGAAAAGCTCAATAAAATGCTGTTCTTATTTATTATCATTTCTTCCCATATATTCAAACTATATTTTTAGACTAACTACAATATTTTATCCACACCCACTATCATCATAAGCTTCATTCTATATTACTAATTTTTCATTAATATTTGCAGAACATGACTTCTTTTTTTTCCTTTCTTCTTGTCAGCACTTGATGAGTTTCCACACTCCATGGATATATGTCTGATACTGGTTGATTTGGTGAAACCACCAACCAAATAACAAACATATCACATGGCGAATGGTATAAACTTGAATGAACTGGACTCAGCCGGTTTCAACTGGTTATACAAACACACCACATCTTAAGTGGTATAAACTGGAATGAACTGGATTCAGCCGGTTTCTACTGGTTACACAAACACATCACATCCCATCCCAAGTGGAATGAACTGGATTCAGCCGGGTTTCTACTGGTTACACAAACACATCACATTCCATTCCAAGTGGAATGAACTGGATTCAGTCGGTTTCTACTGGTTATAGAAACACATCACATCCCATTCCAAGTGGAATGAACTGGATTCAGTCGGTTTCTACTGGTTATAGAAACACATCACACCCCATTCCAAGTGGAATGAACTGGATTCAGTCGGTTTCTTCCGGTTATACAAACACACAGCATCCCATCCCAAGTGGTTATAAACTGGAATTAACTAGATCCAACTGGTTTTAACATTTTACTACTCCCACAACCACAAAAACAAAGTTAGCTACTAAATGAACTGCATTATACTAACCCTATGCTGCTGCCTTGGTCTGAGTTGTTGCAGTTTTCTTGCTGCAGCTTCGATGGATGACGCAGCGGACAAAAGTTCATTCTCTGCAATCACATGCGGATCCTCTGGATCCACCCAGTCAGAACCTGACAAATTAATACAGTGCATCAAAAATAGATTAATATTGTATAATCACAATGATATCTTCAAGTTAGATGAATTATTAATCGATTATGGCCAAGTAGAGTTCAAAGCTTGAAATTTGCAGAAACAAATTATTCAGACTAATCAAACAAACCAACATGGAAAAAAAAAAAAAAATCAAAAAAAA